CTTTTCTTTTAAAGTTATTTATAACCCTATAAATACGATCTTTTACTTTGTCATAGAAACAAGTTTATTATATACAATTTATAATATTCTTCACATTTATAAACACTTTGCAAACATGCTTTGAAGTTATGCTTAACAACAATAGAAAGGTATGTGTAGAAATATGCCTATAGGCTTTAGTAAAGTTGATTGGAAGGTCAAAGGCTCAAAGCAATTACAGAGATTGTGCGGAATGCCCATAGAATTGACTTGGTGAAGAGGGAAACCATAGAAGAGAAAGCGTGATCATGTTTAATTCCATTCAAAGCTCATTGGTAGCACTCAACTTCTACTCTAGGCCTGGTAACATGCTCGAGAGTGAAAGAGAAAGCGCACCTCTCTCTCTCTCTCTGAACCGAATTTTCTTCATTTTTCTCAGTTAAATGCACACTTGATGCAAGGTGGAGTGTTAGATTCCTCGGAGTAGCTGATTTAGCCTATCAGTTATTGTTTTTCCCCATTTGATTCTTCTTTATTGGGAGAATGATTCCTTCTACATGAACAGAAAATCTCTCATTATTTCTTAAAGAATGGATGTTAGATATTTCTTATTTCTGCATCTCCTCTTACTGCAACAAAATCTTAAATTGTTGCACAAGTTATAATAAGGTTTAAAATATTATGAAGAGAGATTTTGTTTCCCGATCACGTGAAGTGATTGGTATGGATGAACCTGATGACCTGTTTGCACACGTGGTGTGGTGAATATTTATCCCGTCGAGCTTTTCACTCAGACTTGATCATAGAACGTTATAGTTACCATAAATTTTGTATCTTTATGATTTAGGTGTTTTGAATTCAGAGATATAAATTTTAAGATGTTTCGAGTTCTACATATTATAATCTTTGGTATTTTAACTATATTAATTGCTTACGCCTTAAAATCATTTCCTAGAAAACGGGTGAATTCTAGTGTTGGCTAGTTTACTCTCTATCTCACAACCTCTCTACTGCTAGCAAGTTTAGAAGTTAATTTGCTAGTACAATATTGTGGTGTTAATTTTTAGAAAACTTGGTAGTCCTTAATTCCTTTAATAATTATTTTAAGCCTGAGAATAGTTTAAGTTCACTATAATCATTTCTCAGGAAAAGGCTTACCCCCGTTTGATAGAGATTTTTTAAAACTCATTTTCAAGTCGACATTCTCCCAATAAAATAATTTTGTATGTGGACCATAAATTTTTCCTCCTTTTTAATCATATAGTGCTTGTCTGGGAGTGATTAAAATTTGGATTAAAACTCATTTTTTGACCGTTGAGTGGTGCAAGGGTAACAATTTCACAGAAATGGGCGATTGTGGTGTGAGAAACGGTCAAAAAAAAGGGCTCAAAAATGAATTTCCTCCTGCTGAAAATCATTCCCAGACAGCCTCATAATCTCCAAAAAAATCATTTTTCACAATATCTATTCTCAAAAATCTACATCAGATTCTTAATTAGTTATTTTTGTAGTAAACTATAGTAATTCGACATTTTTGGGGGAATCAGAAATTAATAGCCATGGACACTAAAATACTGAAATAGAGTTCTTTTCTTTAATCTCTGTCATTGGGAATTGATCAGTTCCTTTGACAATATGGTGGTAACTATTTGAATTAGCCATGTGATTGTCTTCTTTGAACGTTTTAAAACCTTTTACTTATACATTTTGAAACATGTCGTTCCTTTCCTTTTCGGGGTTTTTTTCATGGAACTTATGCACACTTTTGATTATAAATCTGTGTGTTTCAAAAATCCTTTTTTTTTTTAAGTTTATTAGCATCAGTAACATGGCTGCCTACAGGTCTGATGGAACTAAAGTGATGGTGGACAACAAATTCTTGAAGGCCAACAATCCGATACTTGTGAGTCTTCCAATCTCTTGATTTCTTCGTTATAAGCTCGTGCGATGAGTGTTCTGTGTTTTTTAGTCTTCAATTGGAATGATATCATCAAAATTATTTTCCTTTATCATGCAGTTAATAAACTTCTACGAGAAACACCTACGGTACAGTCCCACATGATAAGTGGATCGACGGCTGCAGGATGGATGCTACATCATTATCTTTGGTTTTCATGTATATAGATTGTTGTAATTTTGTAGCTGAAAGTTAAAAAGTGCAAGGTAAGTACTGATGTGTTATATAGGGATGCTGCTGATAAATTGTGTCAAGCTCAACTGTACCTTTGTGGCTTGTTTGATAAGTTGGTCTTGTAAAGTATTGGACAGTATTAAGGAAGAAAAAAGGCCAGAAAATTTTGTCTATCGTAATTTGGTTAGTCTTGTGCTGTCCAATACTGTGTACCAAAAATGACTTTGTACAAGACTTTTTAAATTTTTTGCTGTGATTAATTTATCTAGACGTGGTTTAAGCAAAATATAAGCTGAACTTGAAGTCTCTTCTTCAATTTGGTTTTAATTTATGATGCATGCAGACAGGAGTTGTAGTTCTGCTAGCAAATTTGACTGGAGAATGAATTTCTGTAGTGATTTCCCATTCTAATAATCTTGTTCTCCATGTACGTGTATTTCTGTCGGGCCCGGTTACCCGCCAGACTGGCCCAGTCTAGTCTAGCTTGTCAAAGTAGTTGGAAAAAATGAATACAATGGATGATTCTGACATAAATTTTGAGTGTGACTCGTTTGGTTATTTTGGAAGATCAAGATTGATTTGTATTCTCCTCCATGAAAACATTGAAATTATATATTTACCTGTCAAAAATAATGATGGAGTGAATGAAAATTGGAGCTCAAACTAATGCATTGGAAAATGTTTTTTGTTGAAGGGAAACTAGTTTAAAGTTATTCAACATAGAAAAATAGATAAGGTATGATTACTTTAAATATGATATGATTGCACTCCAGAAGTGTGTAATTATGTGTAGCATAGATGCTCTCTCTACTTGCGCACCCATGGGGTGCAAATTACGGATCGAAATAGGTTTCGGACCTTGAACTTGTGTGCGGGTACGACATGCGAACATGAATGTTGGATCGGATTGACCAAAATTGGTTCACGTTTTGCCTTATTTTTCTTGAAACCTTATAAATTCTTTTAACTTCTGAAACTCATGTGACTATGTTTGTATTAATGGAGAGATTTAACAGTCAGATTAATGATGGTTGATAACATAACTCCTGGCTGTTAATTCTCTATTATAGTCTATTTATTTAGTCATCTTCCTCCATTGCACACACACTAAGCCAGTTTGTCGGTGTAGTATTTGCAGTGTTCAAATTCTACTGATTTTTCCGTTGTATTCTGGGACACTGACGCTCGAACTAAATCTCAAGCACCTATGGTGAGGAAGCGAATCTATTTTAAGAAAACTGTGTTCACATAGGTCTCATTTCATTCGATTAATTTTTTTTAAAAAGAAATTTAGATTACTTGTTCTATTTTATTATAATTAATAAATTATTTGATTTGTGATAGTTTGGCTAACATTCGATTAGCTAGTGTCCAGTATATATTTATACGATATTTCTGTTAATTGCAAATTCGACATGTGTTGCAAATTCGGTATGTGTTCATCCGATATTTGTTAAGTCGGTATTCATTCACTATTATTTTGATCTAAGAAAAGTTTCTAGGCTGGATCGGACCTCTGCCCAGGTCCAACCCATCCTAACTTACCCTGTATATATATTTTTATTTTACCATTCGCCTTTTGAAATTCTAATTCGATAATATTAATATTTAAATTAAATCTCATTTTTTCTTCATATTATTGAAGATTTTTTTTTATACACTTTCGAGTTAGATGATATCTTTAATTTAGTTAAAAGTAATGTTGTTATAAATATTATTATAATATTACAAAATATGATTTATTTTTAAAAATATTTTTTTACTTGACACACTGACAGATAATTAACAGTTAGCATAAATACTTGATTTTAGAATAATAAACAAATCTAATTAAAAAATAATCAATTATTTTATCTCTTAAACTACACTCATTTTCTCATTTTTTGTTTTTTATACCGTATACATTCATTCTAATTGTACCAAAAATTGCACGTGACTGCTATGAGAATGGTCAAGCTTAGACCACAAAAGGAGTTTCCATGTACTTGATAGGAATGTAAAATACAC